CTACTAACTACCTACTAACTACCTACTACTAACTACCTACTACTAACTACCTACTACTAACTACCTACTACTAACTACCTACTACTACTACTACTACTACTACTACGACTACTACGACTACTACTACTACTACTACTACTACTAGTACTAGTACTAGTACTAGTACTAGTACTAGTACTCGTACTGGTACTGGTACTAGTACTAGTACTAGTACTAGTGCTAGTGCTAGTGCTAGTGCTATTGCTATTGCTATTGCTATTGCTATTGCAATTGCAATTGCAATTGCAATTGAGATTGAGATAGATAGATAGATAGATAGTTAGTTAGTTAGATGGGTAGACAGACAGACAGACAGACAGACAGATAGATGGGTAGATAGATACATAGATAGGTAGACAAACGGATAGACAGACAGATAGAGAGATAGATAGTTAGATAATCAGATAGAGAGAGATAGACAGACAGACAGACAGACAGATAGATGGGCAGATAGATACATAGATAGGTAGACAAACGGATAGACAGACAGACAGAGAGATAGATAGTTAGATAATCAGACAGAGAGAGATAGGCAGACAGACAGACAGACAGACAGACAGAGTTAGATAGATAGACAGACAGATAGATAGAGAGATAGATAGACAACCAAACACACAATAGATAGATCGATAGATAGAAAGATAGATAGGCAAACACACAGACAGACCGATAGATAGTTAGATAGAGAGAGAGAGAGAGATAGACAGACAGACAGACAGACAGACAGACAGGGCGATAAAGAGATCGATAGATGGATAGATAGAAAGACAGCTATATAGATAGATAGATAGATACGTGAGTTATAGAGAGGTTGAGAGAAAGAGAAAGAGAAGAGACAGAGAGGCAAAGAGAGCGAGAGAGAGAGATACATAGATAGATCGATAGATAGATAAATCGATAGATACATAGATAGATGGATAGATAGACAGACAGACAGACAGACAGACAGATAGTGTGAGAGAGAGAGGGACACGGATAGACAGAACTATAAAACAATAAACAAGACAGAAAGATAGATAGACAAACACGCGCTTGATCTGTCATTACACCAGTCAACACAAACCAGCAATACACCGCTAGTTTCAGGCTTCTAGCACCTCCCCGAGCACCTGCGACCTCGGGAAGGCCAGGTCCACCCAGGCCACCTGGTCCCGCAAAGCCCGCAAGCGACTGTTTGAAGCCTGTGAAGTTCTACGAGGCAGTTTGGCCGGCAGAGCTGCATAGACGCTGGCCTCAGAACACCGGAAAGGCTGCCTCTCCTTGCTTTCTGCATCTGCATTGCTAAGGCTGCGAAACGAGCCCAGGCCGCTCCGTCTTTTTGTCTTACGTGAGACGACTCCGAGAGGGCGGCCTTTTCGAGCTGTGCTTTGTTGCAAAGTGCAGCCCTGTGCCGCCGGTCAGCCGCCGCTGTGCCGCCGCAGCTGCCGGACACTGCGAAATTGTGGGTTTGCCGGCGGCTTGCTATTTACCTCTCGCTCACTTCGAGCGCTGTGAAACCTTGCAAGCGTGCGCTGCCCCAAATCTCCGCTCACTGGCCGGGGCTCATGTACGGGTTGCGCCTCGGCTCGGAGAGGTGCCGGCGGAGGGCTCTCTCTAACTCTAACACGAGAGAGAGAGAGAGGCGCTGCGGCCTTCTCTCCTCTCTCTCAGCCGGAGCCGGGCCCCCCAACCGCAGCTCCAGCACCTCCAGGTTCACCAGCTGGGCCTCTCCAGCTCTCATCGAAGCAGATATATCATTCGCCGCATCTAGTATAGCGGAGATAGAGCAACACTGCTCCAATATATACACGGGGCACGCGTGCGCCCGCGTGGGTGCTATGTGCACGACAATCTCGTGTCCTGCCTGCGGGCGCTCGGCACGGGTGGCGAAGACTTCTGGGCTGGAGACCTGAGAGGGAGAGGGGGAAAAAAAAAGGCCCCGCCCCCGAGCGAAGCAGGCTCTCCGCCCCGAGTCTCCGACTAAAAACATGTCTCTGTATGTAAAATAACGCTCTCTCTCTCTCTCTCTCTCTCGCTCTTCTTCCACACAGACAGAGAGAAAGCACTAGTGCACCCCCTCCTGTCAGTGCACTCTTGAACCCCAAAACGCCTCATCTTCTCAAGCTATTCCGCCGGCCGGCTCTGTGTCGCAGATCCTCTCTGTCTCAGTTAATTTTAAAGAAAATTGTGGGCTCCCGGCGCTCCGCAAGAGGATGTGCTCACGCACGTAGGCGCTCCTCTCTCTCGCTCTCCGAACAGTCAACAGAGCTCCAAGGGAGAGATGCGAGTCGTGCGAGGTGCTGATGTTCCGTGCTCCTCTTCGGCGGGTCGCGTGGTGCTCCCCCCATCTCCTCGAGAGCGGGAGGGGCCCGGGAGGGGCGATCGGGAGCCCCTGAGTCCCTTGAGACGCTGGGGCTCTTGCCAAGAGAGGCCTCGACTTCAGCAGACTCTGCAAAGCGAAATTAAAAGAAGGCCCTCCCGGGCCTGGGGGGCGGCACCCGCTCGGCTTTGAGAAGATCCAAGCGGGGCGCCTGAAAATGCCGCTGCTCCTCAGACAGGCTTTAACTGAGACTCTTTATGCGTCGTCCAGTCGTATCGCCATTTGCATGGCCAAGGCACGTGGGACTTGGTCTCCAGAAGCTCGCCAGGTGGGCAGACGGTGCTGGTCAGCTTCTGGGGCGGCTTTCGATTTGGCCTCAGTGCTGACAGCTGCTTGTGTTCTCCGATCTTCCGCTTCGTGGAGCTCACGCAGACCACTCAGACCGCATGATCTGGACTTTGCCTCTCTCCAGTGAGTTCGTCCAGCATCTAGCAGTCTAGCTTTTTCACATGGTACAGTAGCATGGACTGGCGTGCGCTCTTGAGGGTTTTAGCCGGGCGCTTCGCTGTCCTTCTCCTTGGGCACGAGTCCCCCGAGACACTCGAAAGGTCGTGCGTGACAAAAGCTGCGGGAGTGCTGCTGCGTGGAAGCAGTTGTAAACACTTCCTGAGACTCTTGGATCTTTCCCCGATGTGAGGGTGTTGAAATATTACGCGAGACTTCTATTCCGCCGCGGATAAGAGGCGTCGGCACACCAAGGGAGAAGAAAGGCGAGGCAGGGCCGGCCCCTCAAAGAGAGGCGGCTTGTGCAGCTGAGGAGCTGCCGCGCGCCCGCCAGGGCCTCCGCCCGAGCCGAGTGCGCATTCTGTAGGTGCACACTATAGACTATAGCGAAATAAGACTGCACTCCGCCGTTTTCCCCTTTCGCCGCCTCGGTGTCACAGCCCACGAAGGTGTCTTCGTAGACGGTCCTATTCCAAACGCAGAGACCGCAACCGCAGAGAGCCACCCCCCCTTTCCGGTGAAACCCATGCCGTGCGACGCCTGCTGTCCATCACGGCCTGGCTCCCGCCCTTTGCCAAAGAACTCCACACCACGAACAAATGCTGCTGCAGAGTTGGCACAAGGCCACACAGGCTGGGCCTCTGGCCTTGCTCTTCTGCCAGCCGGCCTTGAAGGAGGCCTCGAGAAAAGAAAAGGGTGGCTGCCGCCCGGTCCCGCCGCCGCTTAAACAGTGCTCTGTGACTGACCCTGCTCTTCCCCGCGCCCAGATGCTGCGAGGTCGGTGTTGATCTTGTTGTCCCCCAAAGCCAGCGGTTGGAACTGCGCGTCTTTACACACTCTTGAAAGCTCTGCCCTCTCTCCTTGTCGAGCGCCTGCTGCGTGTGGTGGCAGGCCAAACGATTCGTCAAGGGCGTCACACTGCGAGTGCGAAGCGAAGGAAGAGAAGATAACACTCAATTCGATGCTCTCTCCTCCCTCCGCTCCCTCCCGCTTCAGGCCACCTCCGCGTCCACTGCAGATACCTGAGCAGCTGAAACAATTCTGAACAAGTGCTCTGCTGCGCGCATGTGCGGGCCCCCTATACACAAACGGCTTCATCTTGCAAGTCTGAGGCGCTTGGTGTTTCGCTGGCCAATGGCATGGACGTTCAAGTAATTCTCCCCGCGGATCTCCTTTTAAGGCGGATCGGATCCCCCCCTGAGACGTAACTTGGGCGTGCATCCCCTCGCAAGGCGTGCAGGAACACAAGCACGCAAGTGTCCCTTTTACAGGCAGACGGCTGTAGTCTGGATACTCTGCTATGCTAGAACCTTGAGCACAGACATGGAAACATGCAATCAAGTGGTATATACGTGAAGTTGACAATGCCCGGAATGTGTAACATTCGGTACTCCACCAGGCACAAATTTAAAAAAAAATAAACTGCATGGCCGTGAAGTCGGCGATCACTCTGTCTGTTTAGCCCAAGCGAGTTGCAACTGCGGAGTGTCATAAACTGCAGCAAAAGTGACTTGATAAATATACATCTGTACAAATCTCTTGCCTGGAGACAGCTGGTTACAAAAGCAGAACATGCACACAAACAAACGGATCTTCGGTTCAAAACTCAACTGAAAAAGAATTTTGCCCACATGTTCAGTTACCTCTCCAGAATGGAAAGCATACTGCACATAAAGCGTAGACCGTAGCTCCACTTGATGCCAGCTATTGGCATATTGCGGCGATAAGAGCCATTCGACTCTTTTGAGTGTCTTCGCGTAAAAGAAGTATTTCAATTGCTGTTTGGGCAAATGGTCCAGGAGAAGTTCTTCTCCAAAGGAAGAGCATCTTCTTTCTGAAATGGATAAAGGGCTGACAGAAGGATACCTTCTCATGGAAGAATCTAAGAAGCATTCCTTTACAAACCGAAAAGGAAAAACACTTCGTCGACCACCTCTACATCGTCCCAACTGCGATGATGGGTCCTTCTGCCGCTCGAGAGTTGGGAGTGCCACCGAAGATGACGACAGGCTGAAGACGAGTGATAGGATCGGGTCGAGCTGGAGGAGGTCGTGTTGCAGGTACGAAGACCGGCGTGTCCGACTCGGAGTCAGACTCTAGTCAGCGTTTTCCACTGCCCTTGGAGGACTTGCCTCCAAATCCTTTACCCTTGGAGGACTTGCCTCCTTTACAGCCTTTGCCAGTGGTAGCTCTTCCACTTGGAGGATGTGCGGGTTCGGCAGGACGTTGCGAACCATGAGCTGTAGCACCATGCAGAACCAGCACCAGAACCTGCCTCTTGAGGGGGAGAGCTTGGTTCAGTCGGTGCGGCTCCAAACGGACCACGTGCTTTGTTCGCTTGCTGTCTCTGCTTCCTTCGCTCTGCCTTTTCTTGAAGTGCGTCAGGGTTACGGTTCATCGCTCTCGCTCTTCCAGATTCCAACACTGTAGCAACAACCACTCGGAGACTCCGAGCTTGAACTCCTTCTAGCGTAGCCCACTGATCATCTGTAAGAAAATGGCCCCACTCCAGAACGGTGGCGAGCATGGGATGCAGAGCTGGAAAAGTACTCCAGTCGATCCGTGGGCAGTCCCTGCAGGGCTGGCCAAGCGTGTCCTCATACTGCTTCAGGAGGCATAGCGTTGTGCGCTTGGGCGTCCAGCGGCGTGGGCTGTTGGCAGAAACGTATTGTGCCTTCAAGATGCAAGAAGGCATGCATCTCGGACTGTTTGCCCATGCTTCCAGGAAGTAGACATTCCGCCTTTAATGTTCATCGACTCCTGCCGGGTACCAGAATACCGGTAGTGAAAACTTTTCTCACTCACGAGCACAGCGGCGGTCGTACATGACATAAGACATGACTGCAATGCATCTGGGCAAAACGAGCATCCCCACCAGTAAAATATATCACGTGTAAAATACTTTTAAAATGGCATCTCTCAGGGGACCAAAATCGTGATCACCCCTCCAAAGGATGGTTTGTCGCGACAAGCAAAGCATGCTTTCCGAACGATTTGTGGGATCTCCTAACATGTACATGCCCAGAGCAAAACAGCCAACAAGTCTCATGTCAGCAAGCACGTTACAGCGCTATTTTGTTGATGCCGAGGGCGGACATACCGCACTCCAGGGCCGCCACCATTTTGGTGGGCTTTGTACAGGCATCAATGCACCTCCTAACCTTTGACCTTTGGCACCTCATGAGCTGGCACAGAGCGACGTTTGCTTGCATGCTCCGCAAGCTGCAAGACTACTGCAATGCCCCGCTGGTGATACTCAAAGGAGAGGCTACAAGCCATCAGCAATTTGCGTAACACTTGTGTGTGATCTCTTCAAGATCCGGGTCTGTAGAAGTGGTACCAGTCGCAACTGCATCCACAAGAAACATCATGAGCATTTCAAGAAATCACCATTAAATTCTATCATTTAAACACACATGCAAAGAACTGGTATGTGTCATCGTGATTGGGCTCATCTTCATGTGTCATCATGAGCTTCAGGCTCCGGCAGCATCCGTAGATGCTGCTGCACTTGCTGTCCCGGAAGATGAAGGAAGTGGAACATGGTGGCCAACGTTCCAACGTCTTGAACCTGAGAAATCTCACGTAGTAGCACAAGTCGAACCTCCTGGGATCGCAAGGCGTACAGGAACACAAGCAGGCAAGCGTCTCTTTTCTCCAGGCAGACGGCTGTAGTCTGGATACTCTGCTATGCTAGAACCTTGAGCACAGACATGGAAACATGCAAGTNNCCCCCCCCCCCCCCCCCCCCGCGGTTGCTCTGCCCCGCTCCGGAGCCCGCGAAAGGGAGGCATGTCCTCGGAGAGGGGACGTGCGTGGAGTGCTCGGTCACTGCTGGTCTCGTAGTAGCACCGCCGAACCGCCTCCTGAAACAGCTCTTGGTGCTCTTGTTTTAAGTACATCTGCAGCGATGCTCTCAGCGTTCTTGCTTGGTATAGTATCGCTTGTCTCTTCTCCACGGCTTCTCCATGGATTCCACATGCACCCGGCCTGGCTCACAGCGGCCAGCGCGCGATGCGTGGGAAAGGGCCCCGGCGAGGGGTAGAGCGGCGGCATATGGCGCGAGAGCCCGATGGCGCCAAGCTTATAAGAGTTAGATAGAGGCAGACAGAAACTTAGACTTAGAAAACCCTCTAAGTCTAACTACGGCCGATTTCATCGCACGATTCAGTCTTCCGTGCTGCGCTGCAGTATACCTGTCCTGATTTTGGGCGTGACATTGAGTGACTTGACAGCAAGGATGCGGTTGGACGCCAGCTCATCGCAACGGAGCGGTCCTGCAGCTCCAGAAGACAAGACATTTCTGTGGAGTGCGCTGGGACGCCATGGAGGAACATCGCCGCAACACCTCGCGCAGGCTGCACAGCGTCTGGTTGTATAGTGTCTGGGTTGGCCGTAGCATTCTTTGGGCTACCTCTATGGTTTGCCAACCATGATTTGTGGTGGGCCGGTGCTGGGCGTCTCTTTACTCTGTTGTTCAACACTCAACACGTACCATGCTTCGGTTATCTTTGACTCGTCCTTCATTCATGACAATGCCCGGCTTGGTTGAAGACACCCTTGCTAAGAAAGTCCGTGCATTTGATTTCTGAGATTCAGACATTTTGCAAATGCAGTGGTCATTGACATGTGGTTGGGCCCTGTCATCAGCTTGAGATTTGTTTTCTGCTCACAGCACAAGGAATCGCCACAGCCTGCGAAGCCGATTCCCCGAGTGAACATCATATTTAGCTCTACACATGAGCTCAGACTCAATCAGAATGAGGCTTCTGGGTCTTTTCACTGTTACTTATGGTTTATTCTGATGCCCGAGATTCATTGTGCTAAAGGTTCCGCGATAGGCTCATCGTCCATGAAGCTCAGTTGGTGCATCAAGACAAAAGACCGGAAACCTTCGATCGATCATGGATCCGTAGCTCATGCAACGATTCAGAACGCGGGTTGCCTCTGTTTCGGAATCAGTGCAACTCCAAGGAAGAGTAGTTCATTAAATCATTTGCTTATAGGATAGCGTCCAGAAACATCCATACGGGTGCGAGTTCTGTCAGTGGTTTGCCCTCGCTTTATGCATGTCGCATGGTTTTAGGCACATTTCAGTGGTTGAAAACAGCCATCAGAATTTGTAGTGCTTTTGTGGTGGAATGCTGCAGAACACATGGTTGTAGTTCTCGCATGCCAAACACGACGCCGGGTTGATCTTTGCCGTTTCGTGGCGAAAGCGCCACAACTGCCGATGTTTCTTTGTGCATTGTCGAGGTTTTGCGGGAGCAACATTTAAAATTTATGTCATGTGTTTATCTGTTTATATGCAGCTTACACTGTTGATGTTGGTCGTGGTCTTGGTCTTGGTCTTGTTCTTGTTGTTGTTGTTGCTGCTAGTGTATATGCCCGCCATGCGTGGAGCCCGCTCGCGCGGCTTTCATTTGCAAACTGCTGCTAGTGTTGTAGTGTTGGTTGGTGATGGTGGTTGGTGACGGTGGTTGTTGTTGTTGTTGTTGGTACAGACACAAGCAGCAGCCCGCAACCTGTTATTTAGAAGCAATCGGGAATGCTTCCGGCGACCGCATAGGGTGCCTGTGGAGTTTCGGTGAATGCAAGCCATGGTTTACACAGCATCATGATAGAAATGCGGCGTAGGCTGGGTGGTTGTTGTCGGGGCGGAGCGTCAGAACAACAGACGGGGCTCCAGTTCTTGTCTCTAGCAGCAGGTAGAGTCTGTAGAGACAAAGGCCCCGTTGAAATCAGGACTTTGTCTCCACCTGCTTGTAGAAACAAAAACTGGAGCCCCGTCTGTTGATTTGACCCCCCTTACAAGAACCGCATGCAGCGTTCTGAACTCAGTATGTGACCGCGGTGCTCCTGTTTCGGCTGGGGCGGCCACCGGAGGCCGATGCCAACGTTGCAACAGTCCCAACCATCCAGCGAAACCGTTTGAACCGTTGATGCCTGGCCAAGCCGGCAAGGCCGGTCTGATATTTGCGACACTCTCAGCATGTCTGAGCTGGCCTCCCGCGCGATGCCAGCAACACGGCGGACATTGTAGCTAGCAAGGCCAAGGGCATTTTAGACCTCAGCGGCCCCACATGGGAAGCTCGTCGAAGGCCGCTACTCCATGTTGGGTTCAGCGGCGAAGCTGCGGACGTTTTCGGCAGCTTTGCTCTCAGCAGACCACGCACCTGCAGTGAAAAAAGAGCGGAGTTCGACGACTGAGCCGCCTGAGCCCCGAGGCTGCGGCCAAGTGCCAAAGGTCGAAGTTTCCTTGGGTAGGCATCCGCCAGCGGCTCGCAGAACATCGCGAAACTATCTTTTCGAATGCATGTCATATATGCATACATATCATGTGAAAGAGGCATTGCGCTCTCTCGCTGTCTCGGTCGCTCTCTCTCTCTCTCTCTCTCTCTCTCTCCCTCCCTCCCGGGGCAGGAGAAGGCACCGGTCCAGTTACCGCCTCCACGCGCGAACACGTACCCACGGTCCGCGGGCGTCTTTGCCTTTCAAGGGTATATATCCCTGTCCCTTTCTCAGTCTCTTCTTCCGAACTCTCTCTCTCTCTCTCTGCTTTGCTCTCGCTCTCCCTCTCACTCTCAATCTCTCTTCTTCTTCTTCTTCCTTCGGGTTATTCCCCCCGGCCCTTAGGCCCCCCCAATACTTTGGGGCTTTCGGGGAAGTCAGCACACGCGGGCAACATTCCATTATCCCAAGAACGCAATGCACGTTCAAGAGACCATTGGTTCACGGAGTTCTGCAATTCACAACGATTATCGCACTTCGCTGCACCCTTCCGGAAGGCAAGTATTGGATTGATTCGAGACTCTACGCCTCAAGTCCATAAACTGACACAAGGATGCTGTGCGTGTTGCGTCGCTGGGGTCCCCGACCGGCTCCTCCAAAGCAGGGGTCCCGCGCTGCCAGCTCTTGCACCTTCCCACAGCCACACACGTCAGGTTTCCTGCAGTGTATATAGTATCCTTGGAGAACTCCTGATCCTTTAAAGAGTCATGTTCGCAGATTCGTTCACTTTCACGAAACCGGGCCATCTTCGACAAACTGCAGACGAACGAAAAGGCAGAAGGACTCGGATGGCTCCGCCCCGGGCCATCTTCGACAAACTGAAAACGAACGAAAAGGCAGAAGGAGAATTCGGATGGCTTCGGCCCAGACCTGAAAACGAACGACAATGCTGAAGGAGAATTCGGATGGCTCCGGACCATCTTAGACAACCTGAAAACGAACGAAAAGGCAGAAAAGGCAGAAGGGAGAATTCGGATGGCTCTGGCCGGGGCCATCTTAGACAAACTGAAAGCGAACGAAAAGGCAGAAGGAGAATTCGGATGGCCGGGCCATCTCAAACAAACTGACAACAAACGAAAAGGGCAAGGAGAATTCGGATGCCGCCGGCCCCGGGCCATCTTGGACAACTGAAAACGAACGAACAGGCAGAAGGAGAATTCGGATGGCCCTGGCCCGGGCCATCTTAGACAAACTGAGAACGAACGAACAGGCAGAAGGGAGAATTCGGATGGCTCCGGCCCGGCCATCTTTGACAAAATGAAAACGAACGAAAAGGCAGAAGCGCAGAAGGGAGAATTCGGATGGCTCCGGCCCGGCCATCTTAGACAAAATGAAAACGAACTAAAGGACAGAAGGAGAATTCGGATGGCTGCGGGCCATCTTGGACAAACTGAAAACGAACGAAAAGGCAGAAGGAGATTTCGGATGGCTCCGGCCTGGGCCATCCTAGACAAATTGAGAACGAACCAACAGGCAGAACCGGAAAATTCGGATGGCTCCGGCCCCTGGCCATCTTAGACAAACTGAAAAGGAATGTTAAAGTTCGGGGTTCCCTAAAAACTCACGCTCAGACACAAAGCTCTCCGCTTTTCCTTGAGTGGCGCACAGTCGTGTCCGTTCCTTGAGCCTACGTGTTTCGGGCATCAAGCGTCGTTACCTATACACGGCAAGTACAGTGTTCCTACACTGCGGTAATGTTTANNCCCGCCTTCGAAACTAGGGAATGGCTGTTCCAGTCAAGCTGGTTTCGACACTCCTTTCCTTTTAGAAAACAAACTGCACAAAAGCTGCTGTTGCTTTATACTGTCGCAGACATGTAACTGTCCACTGGCGTTCCTCTCCAAGGTCGCTACTGCTGTACACAAAGTTCCTTTACACGACGACAAAACAAAAAATAAGGCTTCTTGGATCGTCGTCCTTTGCCACGCAAAACAACTAGAAACTGCTTCAGAGAAGGTCGGACGGATACACCATCCTTGTTCCTTCAAGTTCCAGCTTTCAGCTGCTTTGAAAAAGGGCTGCAGGCTCACAGGTCCTTGGGCTTGAAGCTTCAGAGCTTTTCCTTTACTTTTTCGTTTCTTTCCTTCTCAACGATGCGCTCGTCGCTGGACTGAAAGTGTCTGTCCTGTGTTCCTGGGTCTTGAACTCACGAGCTACCAGCATAGCTCTCCTGATCCATTTCCTTTCTCTAAAACGCCAATCGAACACAAACTTGGTTGTCAGGCATTTGGTTCCAGTTCCCTCTCTCTCATCACTCTCTGTTCCTGTGTTCTCTTCTTTCGCTAGCTCGCAAAGAGCTGTGTCCTCTGCACTGCATTCATTGCCATGAGGCGGTCAATCTCTGTAACCATTGCCTTGCGGTCCAGGTTCCGAAGTTCCTGGTCTGACAGACTAGGAGGTCCTGATTCCTCATCACCAAAAAGATCCCTGGTCAGATCCATCATCTGAATTTCTGCCAGAATCCACCTGTTTCTATGATCCCCGCCTTGGATCACGAGTGGTCCTGAGACTGTTGTTCAAGGCGCGTCCTGGAGTTGTTGTTCCTTGCTTAGATTCACCATTCGCGAAGGTTGGTGGCTCTACCACTGGTCCTGAGATGTTGTTCCTAGGAATTGCTCGAGTTGCAAGAGTAGTGTGCTTGACTTCCCAGGCATGTATTCCTACACTGCTGATTGCCTTGGCATCGAAATGTTCAGGGCATCTCTTTGCACTCTTTTTGATTCCATCCATGTGCCAAGTGATGTACAGAGTACAGATCATTGTCA